AGTGACCTTTCTGCAGGGGGAACCAGAGCCGGCCCTTTGACTGAATTAGTCACAAAGACGTCTTGCTATGACTTTTGTTCCTCGCCAAAGCCAAGAAATATTGCGTTTAATATGAGAAGGATTGTCTCCAGCTTTCTCGTGCTCCTCCAAGAAATATGACCGGTCTGCTTTCAAGGGAGCTCGTTTCTCTTCCCTTGAGCGCCTCTCTCGGCTCTTGCTCCCCCCTCGCCCCTTTCCCTCCCCAAGACCTGCGGACGAGGAGGCGCACTTTTTCCAGCGTGCCTCCGTCTTGCAAAGAGGAGCGCTCCGTCTGGGTGTGCAGCGGCGAATTTATCCATCTTTTCATGATCTGACAATACTTGGAAATACATCATTGTCACTGGGGGTGGCTTGATAGATTAGCTGGAGGCGCGGAGCCCTTTTCCAAGGTCAAGTTGAAGATTCTTATTTGCTGTTGCGCTGAAGTTTGTGAGAGCGCCGAACAATGCCAGCCTGTTAACTTGCCTCTTGTTTTGGAGAGGAATCTCATCCTCTTCCCCCCAAAAGCCTTTTCTTACTGATGTCTCTTATGGGCTGGGGGGGGGGAAGAGCGATTAAAAAAAGAAATGCTCCCCTCTCGGTCTCCAGTAAAAGTTTACAACCAGTTAATAGGGGACGTCTGAAATTAAGGAAGATGGAAAGAGGCGAAGGGCGTTCTCTGAGTGTCCCAAGACACTTTCTCCCCCTAAAGCAAGGTGCCAACTTTTTATCTTTCGCTTTGCAGGGCAAGGCACATGCATCGTCTTCCCTCCTAGGTGCCTGGGGGCGATTTCTTTTTACGAGTTCGGTTCCCAAAAGCTTTGTTAGTGGCAGGACAGCGCTGGATGGCAACTGTTGCCAAAAGCTTCATTTTTTTTTTTACTAGCCTTGAACCTGTTGTCTAACGGACTCTTTGAACTTCTCTTTGCTGGGCTAAACGTTTTCTTTGCCTCTCTTTGCAGACTTCTTCAGCGTTACTGTGGGTTGCGCAGACAGTTCCTTCTCCCTCTCTCCCTCCCTTCTCTCTCTGAGATGATTGATATTTGTTATTCAACCCAACTTTTATTTACCTTGCAAAAAAAAAAAATGTTCGGGGGACCCAATGTGATAAATTACAGATATGCAAATCACATTGAATGGTCTTGTAAGTGTGTCTCGCTGGAGCTGAATAAGACCTTGCAAGCCGGTCTGTGCGCACTCAGGACCCCAGGGAGCTGATCAAAGCACCCATTCTCTTTCATCCCCAGTATTCTCCTCCAAACTATTTCGATACAATATGTTTCCATGATGCCCTTAATAGGCTAGGGACACAGAACTCATTACAACCCAGCTAGTTCTGCCGACCCCTTTGTTCGGAGGCAGAAAGTTAAAGAGGAGAAAAAGGAGTGGGGAAGCGGGGAAGGAAAGAGAAGCTCTGCCAGTTGCCAGCTTTCTGAAATGCTAAAGCATGCGTCATTTTTCACTGGGTCTCGTCTTGATATCCTCAAAAGAGAATCTATGAAACCGGCTTGGCCTTTTCTGGCATTAATTACACTGCTGTCCAGGCAGTTTTTCCTATTCTATGCATTTCTCAGCAGGGTTTTGTTTTTCTTTTTGCAAGACTTTTTTTTTTTTTGCAGCTGCCAGTTAAATTATGAATGCATTTTTATCAGTATGGGAAAAATAAGAGTGAATGTTGCCTATTCTCATTGTGCACTCTTCAATTTTAAGGAGTTTTGTGGTGGTGGTTCCATATTTAGGGGCAAATGGAAATATGTGACCCAGTTTAACAATCCATATTTTGGTGTGTGGTTTTTAACAAGGAAGGACCCTGCTTCATTTTATAGTTCATTTCTCAGAGTGATTTGTTTTTAGTGTAGGTTAGCTGGATGCAACATATTGATTTCTCTAACCAAGTACCAGCGAAACTCAAAAGCCTTGCTAAAAGCCTACAGCAAAGGGATCGCGTGGGTGGGTGGCTGCGTCCATCTGTAGACTCTCACACTTTGGGTGCAGTTCCCAAGACTTCTCATGAGGAAATGGGCTAAGTAGGGATGCCTTGAAAGTAAGGTCAAGTGTATACATGACTCCAGGGGATTACTTGCACATGTGGAATAGCCGTCACAAAAAGTCAACACGCCTAAGAGATAGCTCTTATCAGCTGACACCACTTCAAACGCAATGCTTTCCAACAGAGGGCGTTCACGCAAATACCCACATTGATTCATACGGTGCTGAGGGACGTGTACATGCATGTGTGAATCAGCCCCTACGCTTAGTTAAAGTCGGTGGGACTTATCAAAGGACGAGGTTTTATCTTAGAAGGACGCGGTTATGCACGCCCTAAGTACAATTCAAGGCTTCGGACTCTTGATGTTATCAGTCCTCACTATCGCATGCAAGCCCTATCCACATTTTACAAATGAGGAAGACGACGGAGAAAGAGTGACCTGCCCTAGGCAGCAAACGAGCTGAGGTTTGCGTTCATTTCCGCGTCCAACCCTCTAGCTATCCATTTCTCAGACTGTAACCCATTTGGTCTGGGTCCCCCCCCCCTACCCTTGGAATAACATTAGGCAAAGTCGCTTATTTGGGCAGCTTTTGCTGCTGGTGTCTCTGAAAGCAAAACCCCACCAGCTCTATTTCTCGGGTAGGTATTGCGACTAGAGCGTTTGTTTTCTGGGGTTGATTGGTTGGTGGAAAAATGGCTGGCAGCCAGTTCTGGGAAAGATTCCAGCCCTGACTCCGATTAACCCTCTCTGGTGAAACTCTGCTGGAAACCAACTCACCAGCCATTGCCATTAATCTACTTACTAATTAAGCCAATTCATTTCTAAAGGAGGGAAAAAATTCCTTTCTTTGGTCCAAGTGATGGGAGGAAATTTGAAAGAAGCGCCAAACTGTGTAACTGTAATTCAGCCAAGGGACTGCTAAAACAAGCTTGTTGATATATAGCAGGAGGCTGAAACCAAGTTTCTAGGGCAACAATCCTTTGGAAGCGCCTGTGGCACACACAGCAAAAGGAGCTGATGCCTGAAGAATGGCAAGGGCTGCTGCAGAGGGGCCATTGTGTGGGTCGGACGTGGGGGAGAAGCACTTCCCTCCCCACCAAACCACAAGGGAGTCTCCAATCAATTCACCACCATCCAGGCTCAGGGTTCATTATTAGGGGGTCCTCAGTGGAGGACTTGGCGATTGGAGTCCTAACAATCCAAAAAGGTGAAAATTGTTAACATTGTGCAACTGGATTTGAATGTAGATGGTTGAGGTCAGTGGTGGTCAAATGGTCCCTCTCGATCCCTCTGATTGGGCTCTTGGGATTATCCCTGCACCACGTCCCTTTCCCCAAGCCACATCCATCACCATCCCTGTTGCAGGCCTTTTACCTGGCTGGAACGAGTCCTTAAACCCTCACGATGTCTCTTTTAATGTGAGTGGAATGTCACCTACCAGGCAAAGTAAGCATCACATTCATTGTTCTAACCACCTTTACCTGTGGCTGTACCCACCGTTTGGCTCTCAAAAGGTTGGCTTAAGGGATGGAGGAAGTCACTTCTTAAAAGAGCGCAGTACCTCCCGTATCACCTGGTGGTTCTTGTTGGCATTCCGTTTGGGTGTGGTTGGTTGTGCTTGAGGGGCAGTAAAAGCTCCTTACCCACCTGAACTGTGAGATGTGATCCATGAGAGGCAGTCAAGTACAACGTTCCTTGTAATGCTAGAGAAGACATGCGAGGGAATGTTTGGTCCAGCCAGTCGAAACTTCCTGTTCCTCCTGGCTGGAACATCCTTCCTTTTGCATGTAATAGGAGGTGGGCGTGACCTAACTTGTCCAGGCAAAAAAAGGACGAGTCACGCAGCACACCTTTTTGATTTCCTTCTTCCTTTGACCAGCTTTTAGGACTGCTCTGCTAGCTCTCAGCTAGCAGAAGCACTGGGATTATTCCCCCATATGGGGTAGATCCGCATGTACATATTTGTAACTAAGTCTGTCTTCAGGAATCCAACTGTGAACTGATGTGAGTAAACTCCTTTTATTGACTTTGAATAAGATTGTGGAGTCTTTATTCTTTTAAGAGGGATTTAAGGAACTTAACAGGAACGTACAATTCAATCAGAGACAGACTGAACTGTACAATAGTACACAGGCCTGCAACCAGCTGTCTGCTGTGCATGCAAAAAGGGGGATGTAACTCTGCTAAGTAAAGGAACTTGCTAGCGCAAGTTAGAAAGCATATTAATAAACAATATATCCTCTCCTGCCACCTTGAACATTCCCACATGAACCTCACAGGCGCAAGGTAAATATATTTGCATTAGGAAGAAGATTCCTGGCTACGTAAGCCTTGTTGCAACTTGAGTGAAGATAAAATGGCATCTGTATGTTATTATTTCAAAATAAAGTAGAAACAAAACAAAACCAGACATGCTTTCAGCATTTGCTAAAGCAATGTACAAGGCTAAAAACAGTAAGAGGTATTAGGAAGAAATAAGGATGGTAGCTTGCCGGCTGAGCACATGGAATTCCTGGTACCTCCAGGTTGAGCTGGGAAAGGCTTCTACCTAAGTCCCCGGAAAACTGCTGCCAGTCAGTGTGTGGGTAATGTGATAGAAAGACTAATGGTCTGGTTCAGAGTCTATGTAAAGTAGTTTCCTATGTTTGCAATAATTAAAGAAACCCTTAATTCTGAACAGGCTGCCATTAAAAGGTTACCAACATTACCATAAGATTTTAACTATAGTGGACGCTCGGGTTGCGAACGTGATCCGTGCGGGAGGCACGTTCGCAACCCGCAGCACCGAATCTGCGTACGCACATTCTAATATGATTGCAGAATGATGATATGGGATTTGGTTTTACTCCTTGCCAAAACTGGATTTGCAGCCTTCAGGCTGAATATAAGGACCAACTTCTAGTTACATTTTAACTGAAAGCAGTTGCAGTGTAATGTAAAGGCTCAGAAAGATGTGCCTTAAGTTAACTCTTTATTTAAGGCTGTTTGTTCTTTAAGGCAGAAAAAAGTAACCCTAAGCCAACTCTCTGGACAAACTTGCACACAAAGTGTGTGCAGTAGAAACTATTCAGCTTGGCAGGTCTCCATTACTCAGGAGAGATGGTTTCCTACGCACCCCATGGGACTGGTAGGAGAACTGAAAGCATTCACTGGACAGGGCAGCTGGGCAGGACATCCTCTGCATGTTACCAGATGTTGAGGTGGACTCTTGCTTTCTCTCTTGCCTTTTCTTCCCACAGGTGGCTCTTACCCCAGCTATCAGCGTATAGATGAATGGGGTGAAGGCAATTGATCAAACTCTTCCTCATCCGCGGACTCTGAAGCTGAGAAGAGGAAGAGAGAGAACACAGATAGCTTGAAACTGCACCTTGGAATTCAATGCAGCGCTGTATTCCCTACAGGTCAATTTGGAGGGGGTTATAAACAGCTATTTTCCACTGTCGGAAGACTATGATAAAAACAGCATTTGGCATATTGCCTTCCCACCGCTTTGTTCATTGGACTGATGAGCCCTTCTAAACCAAATCAGTCTGCTGCAGAAAGGATTGCTGCACCCTGAAGGGTAAGGCTTGCAAGCCACTGCATCACCTACCTGGAGGTAAGCACCACTGAGGAAAGCAGGGCTTGTTTCTGAATAGACACGTGTAGGATTACACTGCATATAAGTTTTAGTGTGGACCAGAGTCTACATCAGATTCAAGGAGAGGATACTACTTCATGCATCTGTTGATGTGGGCTCTGGAGCATGTCCCACATTTGATAAAGTCTACCTGAAGAGCACGCCCCACATTTGATAAAGTCTACACAACCTTCTGCCACCACAACAAATTGTGGGATGTAATCCGCTGGGAGCAGTCAAATACAACATTCCTTGTTTTGCTAGAGTGGACATGCAAGGGAATGTTTGGTCCAGCCAGTTGAAACTTCCTGTTCTTCTTGGCCTGGAGCATCCTTCCTTGCATGGGACTAGTAGGTGGGCACGACCTTTCCAGACCTGGTAAAAGGCCAAGTCATGCTGCTACCTTTCCTCTCTTTTCGACCTTCCTGTTCGTCCTGCCTGCTTCCTGCATCACCTGGACTGTACTGCTGGCTGCCACAGCAGTTCCCCTGATCATCTTCCATATTGGGTAAACATACATGTTTGTAACTTTAAGCCTTAAGCCTGCCTCCAGGGATCACACTGTGCTCTGCCTGATCATGAGTAAAACTCCTTTTTGCTACTTATGAATAAGACTGTGGTATCTTTATTCTTTTAGGAGGGATTCAAAAGGGGTCTTACCAGGAATATTAAAACATACCTCAATCTGGACAAGCCAGATTGAATTGCTTATTGTCTTAAGAAAATTACACGAGTTTGCAACCAGTTTTCTTTTGTGTAAGAAAGGGAATGCACTCCGCTAAGTGAAGAAACTTGCTAGCGCAAGTTAGAAAGGATAGTAATAAACAATATATCCTCTCCTGCCACCCAGAAGTGGAGCATATGCCTGCGCTGCCCAGGGTGGCTGCCCAGGGTGTGCTCCCGAGGGGGGCATGGCACAGAGGGTGCCCTCCCAGGCGTGGGGTAGCCGCTCGGGTGTCTAGAGTGGTGCATGCGCCCTGCAGACAGGGACAGAGCAAGCCGCTCATGGGGGAGGAGCAAGCCACCCATGGCAGACATTTGGCGCACTGCCCGCCTGCGATTCCCAAGCCTCCCCCAAGCTGTCAAAACGAAGGGGGAAAGGGGGGAATGCCACCGGCAAAGTGGCGCAGCTCCCCCCTTACCCTGACAGGGTAGGCTTGGGAGTCATGGGCGGGCAGGGGGTGGTGCACCAAATGTCACTCCCCTCAGTGGGGGCACCCAGGGCGACCTGCCCCCACCGCCCCCTTCCTATGCCCCTGCTGCCACCCTCAACAATCCCACACAAATCTATTAGCTTTTAGTGTGCCACAAAACACTATTGTTTTTTTAAAAACAGTAGCAACTACTACATAGACCAGGGGTGCTGTGGGCAGCACTGGCCTTTGTCCCTCTTTCCTTCCCCCTCTCCTCTGATGCCTTCTTGCGTCTCTGCCTCCCAAAGGCTTGCACAGCTGTTTGTTGCAGCAACACTGGCTATAAGCTCTGCAGGCGAATGGTGCCTCTGGGGCTGGTCAGGGGGTGCTGGTTGCAGCCTCAGTAAGCAAGCAAGCAAGCAAGCAAGCAAGCAAGCAAGCAAGCAAGCAAGCAAGCAAGCGAGGGAGCTCAGTCAGCCCTTGCTGATGGGAAAGGACAGACAAGTCCCAGGCCCCTTCGGGTCAGTGTGAGGAGGCACCTGTCTTTGGGCGGCAGGGACGGGAGGAAGGGTAGTTCAGGGACCAGGGCGGCAGCAGCAGCTGCCCAAGGGGAGAAGAGAGGAGGCCGAGGGAACACTCCACAAGGGAAAGAGGCTGCCAGCTCTGTAGGCAAGGGGTGACATAACTGGGCTCCTGAGCCCCACAGCGGTGCCGCAGAAAGAATGTAGTTGGTCAAGGGAGCCATGGACTCAAAAAGGTTGAAAACCTCTGACAATAGACCGTCAAAGCAATACACGCACTACCAGATGCTCCCCCACCTGCCACCAGACAGGACATCATCTGCTCATGAGCTAAGACCAGGAAGATTTCATGAGGGGTTTAGTATACCCCAACCCCAACTCTATACTACCTGCCATGTTTAAGCCAGCGCCACGAGGAGACCTGGTAGAACATCAGAGAGATTTCAGGTCCTTCTCTTGAATATTTTGTTGGTTTTTTTCTCTTATCTCATTTTGATTGTGCTTCAAGTTCATTTAAAAACACACAAAACAGGCTGGAATCAATGGGCCATCCAAATGGCATAGTATTTTGATGGCATGGAGATGCTCCATTGGCTTTTAAAGGGGCAAGACTCCCTTGCATGAACACATCCATAGGGTTGGGCTGCACACCTCTAACTGCTCGCTTGCAGTTTCCAGGTGGCTAGCCACCTTAGCCTCTTGCAGCAAAAACAATAAAGGGTTGCGTTAAGTGCTAGTGGTAGTTGTGCACCAGTGGTAGAGCACATGATTTTCATGCAGAAGGTCCCAGGTTCTGCAGATAGGGCTGGGAGGGAAAGAAGTCTGAAATCCTAAAGAGCCCCTGCCAGCCACTGAGCTAGATGGACAGATGGTCTAAACCCAGTATAAGGCAGCTTCCAATGGAATACAGATAATTCAGGGCTAATAGACACCACATAATGAAAGGCTACTATCCTATGCAGACCTGAAGACAGACCCTGAAACACACTATCTTTAAAGCTGCAATTCTATACACACTTACCTGGGAGTAAGTCCCAGTGAAGTCTGTGGGGCTTACTTCTGAGTAGACATGTATAGGATTGCGCCAACTGTCAACCTGAGCACTAAACACATATGGAAACACATTCTGTTTTAAGCAAGGGAGACTTGCATACAAGGAATTAATTTGTGATGGGAGTGGAAGTGAGGGCTGTTTCACCTGTTCAAACATTCACACAGGGGAGGGGATTTTGAAAAGTTGTCCTTAAAGTGGAGACAGGTGGAGCTGATTTTTCAAGAGGCACAGCATGTTGTACAATGTGGTAAAATCAGGGTGGTTATATTTTCCTGGCAGAGCCTTTGCCTCGATGAGATTTGCGCAAAAAGCAGAAGTTCAATGGGTGCAGCCTTTCCTGTCATGCTGAGATAAAGTTACACTTGTTGAACTTCTGTCACGATGCAGCTGTTCAGAGTAGAGAAAAAGGAAAAAAGAAAGGTGGCAACTCTATTGTGGATCCAGCTGAAAATTCTCAGGCAGAGGGGAACGCTGTAGAAAAGGAGCCAATGCTGTCCTTTCACGTGCCACATTAATTTACATGTTAGTTTTTATTCCAGCTGCTGTGGAAACCTCTCATTGTTCACCCACATGTTGCTGCTTGTGTGGAAAGTGACGTCTTGAGGCTTAGCAGTTAATCAGGTGACGTCACCTATGCACCAGTTAATGAAATACTGCTGTCCTACTTTGAACCTTCCAGAGTTTGGGAAGCAGGTGCCTATGGTGCCTCCGAGGGAATCCCTATAAATAACCAGCCTCAGTCTCTGCTGCGAGGTGAAACAAGTAAGCCTCTCATTCTAGGGCAGGGAAAGGGCAGAAGTTAGCTGTAGCCAACCCATCTGAAACTTGCCTACTTCTGGCACATCTGTAATGTGAGCTCTCCATTCTGGCTCAGGAAAATAACGCAGAATTTATAATGTGTGTGTGTGCACGCGCAATTAAAATATGTATGTATTAAGATAACCCATCTTTTCCAAATAGGGAATAAACCACATGGATATTCTGTGTAATGTACACACACACACACACACACACACACACTCACACACAGAGGCAGCCTAAAATGGGATTCCAAACTATTTCAACTGCTGTGCCTCCAGTTATAAATGAAACACTGGTCACAACAATTTGTTCCAGTGCAACAAATGACTTTTTACAAATTGCCTGAATATCTTGAAAAGCTTTTTACAGAAAAAGGAGGGCTGGGAAGAGTATTATTATTATTTATTAAATTAATATACCTTTCTTCATCCGTAGATCTCAGAGTATGGGGACTGAATAAAGAGAAAATATCAATCTAGATGCTGTTGTAACACACACACATACACCAAATGTATTTAAACAATGATTTTGCATAAACTCTATGTAGGAAGATATGATCATCGTGTCATGCTGGAGAAATCAGCACCACATGCTATTATCATAAAGAAGGCAGCAATAAAACAGGAAGTTTGCATGAAACTCTAGTTTCCAGATACTTGGATGCCAAAATAAAATACAGAATAAGAACAAGAGGAGTAAGAGTTAATACAATGGGGGGGGGGGAGCCTGTTTCTTCACTTCAAGCCTCTCTTGAGTTTTTCATAGTAAAAATTGGATGCAAATATCCTAAAAAGACTAATGACATTTCACAGGTAATGCAATTTAGAAAGAAACACTTCCATGTTTTCTTTTCCAACAATGTGCATTTTTGTAAACTGCTATAAATTGCAATTCAAAAGCACTGATCTCGCCATCCCCAATCATTTTTTATACTGATCAAATGAATGCAGATACTCCCCTTTGGGAGGGGCGACATGACATTTCACTTGGCAGTTCTAAACAGGTCACGGACCTTTCACAGACCCTAAGGCAGTGGGAGGGAGCGCTTTAGGAAACCGTGTAACCAAATCAAACCAATGGTTACCCCCTTTCAATACCATTGGAATGGTTTGCACAATGCTTATTCACATAGCAGCAGAGGAACTGAAAGGATGGTCATCCAATGGAAATGTCTTTTCCTTTGTTTGAACTTAAC